CTTCTAGAAAGAAGCTCCGGCTTTCCAAAGATCAGTCAGCAATCCTAGAAGAAAGCTTCAAAGAACACAACACTCTCAATCCAGTAAGTAAAATTCACAGACTTTAATGTTTCCTTTCTAAATTTTCTCAGCATCCAAACATAACAGAGAATTATAAAGACATTTTGGTAATTATTTTGGCTTATATATCGCAGAAGCAAAAGCTGGCTCTGGCTAAGCAGTTGGGGTTACGGCCAAGACAAGTAGAAGTATGGTTCCAAAACAGAAGGGCAAGGTAATGTTTTACGGCGTCGTTTCGGTTTCTGGATGATTTTTTTTCTGAGTACATGGGACGGTATATAAGATATTTAAACCTTTAATTTTCCCCCTTAACAAATATTTTTAAGTTAATGAGTATTACATCCATTAAGTTGTTATTAGTGTTGTCTTGGAATGGTGTTGTTTACGGAGTTTTGAAATTTTTATTTCAGGACGAAGCTGAAGCAAACTGAAGTAGACTATGAATTCCTGAAGAGATGCTGTGAAAATCTGACGGAGGAGAACCGGCGGCTGCAGAAGGAGGTGCAGGAGCTGAGGGCTCTGAAACTCTCCCCTCAGTTCTACATGCAGATGACTCCACCAACCACCCTCACCATGTGCCCTTCCTGCGAGCGCGTTGGTGTCCCACCATCTGCTTCATCCGCCGTCGATCCACGATCATCTCACCACATGGGACCCACCCACCACCGGCCTATCCCCATCAAGCCTTGGGCTGCCGCCGCCGCCGGCTCTGCTACTGCAACTCCCATGCCTCACACACAGTTTCCGTTCAATGTTCTCCGTCATCGCTCCTGATTATGACTGATGTCAAAGAACAGTCTGGTCATTTCAAAGAGATCACGTGTACTGAACATTATAAAACTGGTTGTAATAATGCACAAAAAGTTGTAAGACATAGGGGTATTTTTTTTTACCTAGAAAAAATCTAAAATATGATGATTAGAATGCAATTTGGTGGGTCTCTCATGTTTTCAAATTGTATTATTGAATCTCTACTCATTCATCTTTCTTTTTGAAGGTTAATAAGATTAA